TTATAATTAATGATTGACCTGAATGAATATACCAGAATATAGACATCAGATGAGTATGGCTCCTTGTAAGTAGTTTAAAGTATGTGTTCCTTGTTTCCTAAAATATAATGCCACTGCTTGAAATTGCTTTTGAGTTGTACTTCAGAAACTGTAACATATTATTAACACAAATAATCTTAGAAAATTATTATCCTTTGAAAACTGATATATGTACTCCTCCATCCCTCTTTGGAAATAGCCAAAAGCCACTTGGAACAAGTGTCAAAATAAAGGAGGTTAGCAAGGCGATGGAATATATTTTCTTGCGTGTTGTGTATCGGCTCTTAAGGTCATTACGAGAAGGACTCCCAAAACCATTTTGAATGATGACAATATCAAATAAGTATATGTCCTTTCAAAGGGACAATTTTTACAGTTAAAACTTATGTGGATGCTCAAGTTATGATGTGTTTATTAAAAATAGACTTCATTATCTTTATAGCTACGTCCTATTATTCCATTTTTCAAAGAAGAATAACAATAGATTTTAACAGTTGCCATACTTAACATTTTTTCAGGTTTAAAGGAACTAATATAGAATCCCTGATCAATGTTTTATGATGTCACTAGCTATAGGAAATTAGAACTGGCATAGACATGACATTACTATTAATAAATGAGAGTTTTAAGAATTTGGGGCATCACGTGTTAGAGTCACTAACATTTAAAAATTCATGTTAAGTGACTAATTAAAATTTTCTTTTATCAATATGAATTCTGGAGGCCAACTAACGATTTAAGAATTTTTAATTCTTAAAAATGAGTTTTAGAGATAGATGTTTAAATAATGCTACTCTAATATCCATGTGCAAGTATGTTTATGACACAGATCCACTAGTCTGTTTAAAAATGATTTCTTCATATTGACTTATGTTCAACATGTTTTAGTAATTTCTGTTACAAAGAAGACTTGAAACAGCAAGTTGCCACGCAATTAATCGGATGGACCGTGTGGTAACCCTAACTACTTGGTACCATAGCTAGAAACTCAAAACTGACTTTCTTTTGATTAGGTGGTTGTTCTTTTATATGTCTAGTCTTAGGTAACCAGTGGAGTGATTTTATTAGCAAACATGTTTGTATCCAGACTCTTCCTGTTATTATAATAAATAATTCATTTAAAAATTTATCTTTTGTTTCTTTTTTGGTAATTATCTTGGTGATGTTCATGAATACACACACACACACACACACACACACATACCCCAAAGGAATATCATATTTTCAAATTTGCAAGCCTGGATTCATTTATTTATTGTAGAGTCACAAATTGTCTATATTATATTTTGCAGA